AGGTAAATACAGTGTTAGAATAAGGGACATAATAATACATCATGTAGCATAGCTCTCAACGAATGTAGTCCTGTAAATAAATGAATATATATATGTATAGTGCGTATACCCATAACATTTGTCTCTATGCGCTCTCCAGAACAACAGAAAATAAAACAAAACATAAATAAAGGTTGAAACAGAAAAGTGGTTAAAAAAAGCAAACAGGAAATTATAGAATAGAAAAACAACACAAAAGTGAAAAGAAAAGAAAAAACACGAGTCGAGAAAAATTAGAGAATGTTAAATAAGTATGATTTAAGACAGCGCTTAATAAAGATCATTAAATTAGGAGACTTTTGAACGGTTTGTGGAAGTGAATTCCAGAGCTTGGGGCTAACAACTGAAAAGGACCTTTCACCACAAGTCTTCAAATGACAGGTAGGCATATGAAGGTTATAGATGTACTGAAGTGGACCTTAATGTCCTTTTGCATTTAGCAGAACGGAGTGTGATCAGTTCTGAGATGTAGTGAGGAGTAGAATGGACTTATGTATAAAGGAGCACTGTTACAACCGCTAATGTAGAAAACAACAGCTAATGTAGTAACAACCGTTAATGTAGCACACTCCACAACTTTGTTTCAACTTAGCTTGGCATCTAGGGCTTTCTAACTATTGATAGATTATTGGTCATTCTAAAATGACAAGCATTCACCCCCTGGACGATTGCACATTAGCATTCTCCCAACTATGATTGTCACATTTGAACCAAATGATTGACATAATTGATCCATCTTAACTAATGGATTTGCAACAAGTCATTAAATCAGAGAAAGAATTTCTCTGCAATCCAATCAGAAACTCCAAAAGTATGAGGTGTTTATTTAAGACACACCCCCAATACCTTGGCCATATATGCAAACACCCCAACACTGAGTTAGGAGAAATAGTAGATTCAGATCTAAGCTAACATCTCTGAACTGAGGCACCTGGAGTTAGTCGATTGTATATAATATGTAATGCAGTAGATTAGTTGAATAGCTGAATAAAGCTTGCAGCATATGTATTTGTATTTTTATTTGTGTGTATGTGTGGGTGTGTGTGTATGTCTGTGTATATATGTGTTTCTATATCTATGTATGTATATATTTATGTGTAGGTATGTGTGTGTGGGTGTGTGTGTGTTGGTGTGTGCATGTATATATGTACTCACATTCTTCTAATAAGAGGGATAATTATTGTGCTTCAGGTGATAGGTATACAGGCATATTGTTATAATTGTACAGCAAGTCATCTTTAGATTGGGATATGCAAAAAGTCTTGTAATAATGTATTGAAATGAAAATTCACATTAAAAAAAATACAATTTAAGCAGAGATAGGTATTAAACTAAATAAAAAGCTAATTGCATTCAGGTAATAAAATGGAACATAAAACAATAAAAGATGGATATTCAACAAAAGAAAAAAGATAATTGTATTTCACATAAATTAAAATATTATTGTTATTATCCATGTTTGCATTTGCTATATAAAATTTTGTTTTTATAATTTAGAGAATCGTGTTTGTATATAAATACAAAGATGAAAATGATAATGAATAAAGTGGGGTTAACCCACAAAAGACAAAAAAAAAGGCTTGCAGCATATTGCTACTAAAGGAACTGCTGTACTTTCTTATTGAAAGTGCTCACTCTAACACATCAACGTCTACATATTGCATTTGGATCGAAACCAGAGCCACAACCCCCTCACCAACCAACCATACACTATGTCTTTATTATATTTAACAAACCCAGTGGCGGATCAAGAAATTCAAAATAGAGGGGGGCCTGAGAAGGTACTTTCACAGATGAAGGATATATAGTAACTCAGCCCCGCCATGGTTGGGCTGAGGTAAGAAAATTTGTGATTATGGCACCTCTAGTTGGCTGGAAATTGTCAGATTGTCGTTTTTCCTTTTGTTTTTCTTCCCTTGTGCTCGTTCCGTCATGTTTTGTCTTGTCTTTGATTATGGAACAAATTACTTTTCATTTTTCTCTGGTGGAGCAAGCCGTAAAGCCATTTGGGCTTATTTGACTTCACCAGACACAATTGCATTCGATTTTGCTTGCATCTTTATTATTTTTGTCTTGTTACCACCTTTATGCATTGTGTGAATAAATATGAATCTGAATCTGAATCTGAAATATTTTCTTTACATCTCCATTTTTAAAAATTTTTTGAACAATTTGGGTGGGGGGGGGACCTGGGCCATCAGCCTCCCCCCCCCCCCTCAAATCCACACTAAAACCATAATACAAATGCTTTTTAAAATAATAGTGTGCAATGAGTATTTTGATTGATCTGTCAAAAGCCTTTAATTTTGGTGTTACACATCTATTAATTTTTTTTTTCTATCGAAAATCCTTCCTACAGGCCTGATGAATGACTGCAGAAATAAAGTGACAAAAAGAATTTGACATTACACATTTCACGGTGTTGATATTTCTTTAATACCACATAAATATATAATTACTTCAATTTTCTAAGTAATATAAAACAAATATTTAAATTATATAACATATTAACAGTACACACTTGTTAAAAAACTAAATTTAAACTATGAATTTTGATCAAAAATAAAATTGTGTACCACTAAGTAAATAAACAATGTAAATGAATCATAACTTTTCACAGAAAAACTATGGAATAAATTATATTTCAAAGAAATGAATAAATATGAACAAAGTGTGTAATTGATATATCTAATAATAATTATTATAACATGATAAATAACATCAACAACATAATACATTAAAAATAATAACCACAAAATGATAATATATAATAAAATAAGAACAATAATAATTATAATAATAGTACAGTAGTATTAATAATCTGATATTTACATTGCATAAGCAGCGAAAACGTTCAACATTTTAAGAATTCAAAACACCACTTTTTGTTTCAATTAGTTTACTGGTGGGTGCTTATATTTACGGGTGTGCAGCCAAACACTAACCTGTTAATTGGTTAACACATAAATTTATTATAAAATCACATGTCTAGCATGTTATTGTATAAAAAAAAAATCAAACTTAATTTTTAATAAATGAAAACTACATTCTCTTTTAGCTTTATTATTTATTCACTCTTTATCCTTTAAGCCAGGAACTCATTGCGTTGTACGACTGTCGGCTGACAAATCCAACTCCGCTTCCTGTGAGTGTAAGACGATTCGGTGGCAGTCTTAACGGAGTATCGGTTTTTTTAAATCAGACTAGGGCCTCATGGCATTAGACACCCAACCAAGTTGGGTAGGAACAACAAGTGAAGGACACGTTATTGATTACCTATTCTTCTGAAGGCAGGCCCCTATCCTTTAGGTGTGATGGTATGTACGAACCCCCACCCCCAAATCAGAAGAGGTCCACGTCTTAAAGACGGTCTAGAATGCCTTGAATAAATTTGAATTGCTTTGAAAATTTAAAGGGAATCTTAGATGTTTATATTTTAACCAGCAATCTATAGTTAGGTCAGTATTTGGGCATAAAAGCTGCAATAGTAATGAAAAATCAAAGCTGAGGTTAAACCAGCTCTAAAACCTGACCTCAGTTGGCCCATCTATGCTTATCCTGCACCCACATCCCTCAGGCCATCTTGATATATTTATTCCCAATAACATAAATGATAGATGCTTAAGCCAACTAGTTAGATTACAATAAGCCAGTTCATAGTTTGAACTGCACATGCACATATCCAAGGTCAATCAACTTAGTGTGTACAATTGTTTATGTTGATTGACTTTGACATGTGCAGTTCAAACTACAAATTGTCCTAGGCTACCTGGTTAGCTGACACATAATCAGAGACAATAGGCCTACTGCCAAAGATTACTTTATCAGATTCACTTGCTAAGGGTAATTTTGGTCAGGTACAATCAGTTACACTTGGCTAGAATATGATTACACCAAATTTTAGGGCACCCATCTGGATAAGAAGGGTATGTTAATTAGTTGCACTTGGCAAAGACAGGCTTACATCTTAACTCAGGGGATGAACCAGGTATATAATACCCATAATTTAACATGAGTAACAATATAGTTACTATGTAATTGTAACACCTTCATTTTTATTTACAGTTAACACAAAACTCGTGTATTTCTGTTACAAATACACTGAAGAAACAAGCAATTTAAACAAATGCATTATACAGAACCATTAATTGCATAATCTGAGCGATGCAAGGCATCGAAGAAAACACTTGGTGATAGGCATGCAGCTATGGAATGTTTGTATAGTTTAATTTTTAAGAAATATCACAAGAGCGCGCAATTTTAAATTTTTAAGAAATATCACAAGAGGGCGCAATAAAAAAATAAGGCAATTAAAAATTTGTGGGAATTTTATACTAAGGCACCTGTTATATATAAACATACACTGTGTATAGACAAGTTTAAAGGCTAAACATTTTCCAATTAAAGAATTAGTGACTAATGTCTACCTTTAAGTAGCAATCCCACAAAATGTCACACCATATTGTCCTATTAATTGTCATTGTTAACTTCAGAAAGTCAGGACAACTTGACTTTTTGATCAATATCATATAGCATGTTACACACACACTTTTTTGATTTGGTACCACAGAAGATTTAAACACTCCAAAGGTCTAGACATCGCAACAACTAAAATTAATTATTTACCCCCTTCACAGATCAAACGTTAGCACAATTTTTTTAATATCCAATAATAAATATATTTGAAAAATAATTATGAATATAAAAGAACAATCAAAGGAAATCAAAATAACAAACAGGTCAACATTAAAATAAAGTATATATTACTTTTACCCATTTTACATTACTTAGGTAGTTAATATTGATAGGAATCATATTTTGTTTGGTGTCATATCAGCTGTTTTATCATTTTTAAATGAAGATGTAAAATATCAAGACCCCAATATTTTTGATTGCGATAACGTCAAAATTTACATAATCAATCATGTGACGTTATGATATCCCGTATGCACTCTGTGGGTCATGGTACGTGAAAGACTCATGCTATCTTGGTCAGTAATGATACCCATATGCGAATTCACAAGACATGAGCAGGTACACAAGATTTTGATGATAGAAGACACAAAAGGGTTTGGCATCAGGAGTTTTGGTTTAGTAATAAATTTGGCAAATTTGACAGTGAAAATGTATGGTTGGGGTAGATTTCCTCCTCACTCCTAGATATGGCACTTCAACAACAATATGATTATTAACCAATTAGTAATAGAATAGTCTGTTTTAGTAATGTACTTGGCAAATCTGACAGTGAAAATGTGAGGCTGAGGGTTTTCTTCCACCTCAACCCTCTCCTCACGTCTAGATGTGGCACTACAACAACAATATGATTATTAAATAGTGAAACTTGACATAGAATGAATTTGGCAAATTTAACCATGTTAAATGTGGGGTTGGGGTACATATCCTTATCTCCACCCCCTCCTTATTTCTAGATATGATTATATCCTTACCCCTTCCTCACTTGGCCTTCTTCCCACCCCTCCTCACTTCTATATAGATATGGCCTTCTTCCCACCCCCTCCTCACTTCTAGATATGGCCTCCTCCTAACCGCCTCCTCACCTCTAGATAATATGGCACTGTAAAGCCAAAAATTCTAGGCTTACTGCAGATTTTCCATCTGTGAAGTATCACATCTCCAGTTTGACCTCATTGTATGAACCTTGTTCGACGACCTGATTTTCGACGAGGATGGTCTGATCCCCATCTGTAGCTACCGGCGTCGGTGGTGGTAACCTGTTGCTATTACCAGCTGGTGAGTTACCCTGAGCATCGTACAAGGGGTTGGTGTCGTCTGGCGCTTTACCGCTGCTGTAACGTTTTCTTTGCATGTTAATTGCAACAGTCTCCTGGTCTGCAATTCTACTTGGATTTTGTAACCTGAAAACGATTGAGAATGCTATCAATAAGGCAAGATTTTTTTCATACCTTGTTGAGCGAACTTGCCGACTATAAATACTGATGATTTCAAATAAAAATTTAATTTAATTTTTGGCCAATTAGCTCACCCGCCACCACGAAAAAGTGGAAATTTCAGGAAAAAATAAAAGTTTTTCTTTATTTTTATTTTGCCCTCCGCTGCCTTGTAATCTCCATAGATAAGTTAGTATAATACATACTCAAAGTATCGAAATGCACGCCATGGTGTCGGGATTCAATATTTCGACATTAATTATGTCATCATCAGGAATGAAAAATTATCCACATTTGCAAGCTTATATGCACAAGTACCAAAAGTGCTTAGCCAATCTTATCTGAGATTAATCAGTGGACCTTTCGGTTTTTGGCAAATGCTCCAGAGACAAGATATGTATATTTCTTCCTAATTATATAAATTTGAAGCATTTAACCATCCTATTTTACATTCACCAATAAACATTTTTAGTTTTACTTTCTCCTCCGTCCGAATGTTTTTGGCAAATATATTTGCTAAATAAGAAAATAAAATTTTATTTTTATTTTTATTCCAGCCTACTCGGATGATCTTTAAAAAATTAAGTACATGAAACAAGGAATAAAAAAAGTCGCCTAAGCAGAAATAACTCAATGTGATTTTAACTAATCATTAATCATTTACAAAAGATAGAATAAATAAAACTGTAAAGCAAATAAGATGGTGAGACAGTGATTGTAATGATGAGCACTTTATCAACCAGGCCCATAACCAGGGGGCTTTACATGGTTTGGCCAAGCAAGTGAACATCATCTGATGAACAAACTACCACTTCTCCTTGCCTAAAAAAAAAATCATCAAAATGATAAATTTACCATTCAAATGCTATAATACTTTAGATCTAGAGGTTCCGCACTCCTGATTTCCATGCGGCTCTTCCCTTTAACCCCAACAAATCACAAATGTGCTTCTTAATAACATTAATGTGTCATGCAGAAACTTCAGCCAATATGTGGCAACAGTACTTCATCAAGGGATGTATAAATGTCTTAAGCTTAGTCCAGACTATCAAATCTTCTTTGAAAGAAAAAACTACTGTATGCCCATATATAGTCATGATGTGCCCATATATGGTCATGATGTGCCCATATATAGTCATGATGTGCCTATATATAGTCATGATGTGCCCACATATAGTCATGATGTGCCCATATATAGTCATGATGTGCCTATATATATAGTCATGATGTGCCCATATATAGTCATGATGTGCCCATATATAGTCATGTGCCCATATATAGTCATGATATGCCTATATATGGTCATGATGTGCTCATATATAGTCATGATGTGCCCATATATAGTCATGATGTGCCCATATATAGTCATGATGTGCCTATATATAGTCATGATGTGCCCATATATAGTCATGATGTGCCCATATATAGTCATGATGTGCCTATATATAGTCATGATGTGCCCATATATAGTCATGATGTGCCCATATATAGTCATGATATGCCTATATATGGTCATGATGTGATGTCATCATGACCATATTTAGGCATGTCACATGTTTTTGTCAAATGATAGACCATACAGTCCTAGGATATCCCCCATCAGAAGATTATTATGCAAAGTACTATCTACAGCTTTATCTTTCTTGAATTATCATACAAATGTTGAGGATTATGTAATGAATTTGTAGCATAATCTTACCTTTGGATAATAAATATAATAATAACACAGAGAACCGATACGCCATCTACGGTGGTCCAGATAATAAGATAGATTGATGGGTCCTGAAATATACAATATTTATTTGATCACCAATACAATTTTAACACAAAGGTGGGGTTATGATAATGCTGGCGATAAATAAAGACAATAACTATCAGTGACATTTTGTTGATGCCAAATGATTATGATTATATAGTTGAGATGGTAACAATGGTTAGGAGACAAATAAGAAAATTAATTAAATAGTTTGAGGATAAAACTGACTCACCAAATACCAAGCCGGTGAATTTCTGTTTTCCAAAACTTGCGCAGCACCAGACGTGACTGAATGAGCACCAACGCACCAGTACACGGAAAACAACCACCACTTGTTCACCATGTATACTGAGCTATTGATACTCGCATTCTTTAAATCCCTTCAAAAAATAACAAGTATTATGAATAAGTTATTAAAATAATTATAAAATAGTATAAAGTCAGCTCTAGAGGAAACATTTTTTTTTTGAAAAGTACAACTGATTTTTCTAAAACACAAAAAAGCATATTCAACGAAAAACTCGGGAACAGTAATAAAATACATTTTTTTGAATATTTAAAAAATTGGGGGAAAAGGGGGTGTAACCACTCATTTTTCAACCTATCTCATTAACCGTTCCTGAGCTTTTCGTCCAACACACTTTTTGTGTCTTAGTTAAATCAGTTGTTCAGCACATTAAACAAATTTTTCCTCTGGAGCATAACTTTAAAGATAATTTTATAAACACATATTTTAAATTTATAAACACATATTTTTTATTTTATAAACATATATTTTTTATTTTATATATAGATACTTTTATAAACACATATTTTAAATTTATAAACAAGTATTTTTTATCTTATAAACATATAATTTTTTATTTTATATATTGATATTAACCAACAACTTCATCACCAATATTCCTATCATCACCAAATTATATTATCATTATCACATTAATAATATCATCATCACTATCAGCTTCATCATTGTCCTTACTTGTCATCATCATCACCACCATCATCATAATCATGACATCATCATCATCACGACCATCATCATCATTGTCGCACCTGCATCAGCAGACCGTCACCATCCATTCAATATCATCTTCAATTCCTTCTGATTACCTTATTTCTTGATCAGTTACTTCATAAAATGCAGCATTAACTTGACGAATATTCCGTTCTCGCATTTCTTCAATGCTGTATTTATAACTCTCAGCGGTTTGTATGAAACCTGGCGCGCGTTTCTCAACCCAAGATCTGTTTGTATCAGACAGCCACCATATCTAACAAAAAAAAAAACAAACAAATAATAAGTAAATGCCATGGATGATGCATTGGGAAACAAGAGATCCACACAATTAGGTGATCAAAGCTTTGACATAAAAAATTTTTCCAGGCTGTCCAATAAGAAAGGCAAAAAGAAGCATGACTATAGTAAAAATGAGATTAAAATGGAATAAGAAACACATTATATGATAAAAAGTATACCTGTACAAAACAAAATGTTACTTTACCTTTTCCTGCCTAATACCGGTTTCCAGCGTGGTGTTCACTACCACTTCTATCCATGTGGAATAGTATGGATGATTTTCATCTGGTTCACGGATATCAAAAATTACACTCTTATTGTAGAGGATAGCCAGATTCAGTAGATCTTTCAAGGTGGGAATCCGCTGTTTATGGAATTCATTTTTGATGTGTTCAGGAATAGATTTGACTGTCCGAAATGGATCCCTCTGAAAAGAAAAATTGAAATATATATA